ATAGGAATAAATAATTATATATGTTTACACATAAATCCAGAAATGTAACCATATACAACATTGTTGCACGATAGTCCCACAACACTCCTTTTACTGTCTCCTGCCATTGAAATAATTTTTGACAGCTTCTGATTTGTACAATAAAATCATCTGTTTTGGATTTTTTATTGCATGATTTGATGTAAAAACATGTTAATGCCAGGTGTGTAAGCACACGCTCATCATCCTAGCACAGGGGAGCCTGAGGCAGGAGGATCAATGTGAGTTCATGATCAGTATTGGCTGCAAAGTGAGCTCAAGGCCAGGCTAAGCCACATAGTGAGTCTCTCTCAGAAAGACAAAAAAACTGTTAACAATATTAGCAGTTATGTAGGTGATTCAAAGAACTCCATAAAATTAATGATTGTCTGTTGAACTTCACATCCAGCAGTAAAGAGTATATTATAAGCTGCCTTTGCCATTATTGGTGGTGAAAAATGACCACACTATCTCCCGTTCAACCTCATCACTTATCCCAAACTATAGGCCAGGTAGAAGAAGAGAGGACAAGACCACTGCCTACAATTCTACAGAAGAATAATATTGCTTGGACCATTCTGAAATAATGGCATACTTTCATGAATCACATGCTTTCGTACACTGAATTAGACAGACATGGACTTCTAAAAATATCTTACCTATTTTCTAAAAGTACTTTTCAGATATCTTCAACTTAGAAAGTTTTCTGTAGGTATGGTTATATTTTGAAGGTGAGTTAATGAATAGGATTTTGTGACAACTATTTCCCAGAGATAAAGATGACAATCTTTCTGTCACCTCCTTATTATTTTAATAGAAATACAAAAATTTATTCTTATGTCTCTATATCCTGAATTTTTATTAACTGAAAGATAAAAGATATATTTTAAATGACAACTTGTCTTTCAGCTCCATACCAGCAAAATTTCTTTGGAAAAATATCCACAGAGCATTGGTAGAACAGCCAATTTTTTAATACTCTCTATTACTATATAAAAAGAAAACATATCCTGAAATGATCATCACTTAGCATATCAGTATAGCTTTCAATATCTGCAAAGAATATTGAGTAATACTTGAAGTTGTGGCATAAAATAAGAGGCTTCTGGTAACGAATGAGTCCCTTATAGGTTAGCTGCTTTCAAAAGTCACCTACTTTTTGGGAAGTCCTACACTTCTATTACACAGCTTTCCCTCCCCAAAGCAATCATTCAGATGCACAAAACAAAAAGGTATATACTTTATTACTAACTTAATAAAAAATTGAGTTAGCCTGACAGATTTTAGTGTAAAAGGTAACTTCCAACATGATTCTACTTTTGTATTTATCTTTAAAATTATAGTGCTGGGGTCAGGGAGATAGCTCAGTAGAATAAGCACTTGCCTGGCAAGTGAAAGGGCCTGAGTTCAATCCCCTGTTCCACCAAAAAAAATTATACTGCCTTCTAATATTCCATGATGAGCAAAATGTTACTTATAGTCTGATTGATTTTTATCTCTAGAAGATACAAATGTCTTTTTATATTTCTATTTCTGCCAAATATGAGCAATAGTTAGGATGAAAACTGAAGTACAAAATTTCATTATTTTCCCTTTATTCTTTTTTTAAATTATATTTATTTGTGTGTGTGTGTGTGTGTGTGTGTGTGTGTGTGTGTGTGTGTGGCCAGCTCAGCCTACCAGGGGTCGGGGCTGGCTGGTATGTGGTGCTGGGGGATTGAACCG